TACTTTTAGCACAACTTGAACTACAACATACCGACTTGCTCTTTTTCCATTCTGTACATTAAATAGAAAATCATTTTATACTATTTTGAATTGCTTTAGTTTCCATTCAGTCCGTTGTTTATTTTATCATCACAGCTCTAGTATTCTATCCGACTTTGCATAACCGGTACTCCAAGAGTAATTTTCCCCGATATAAATGGTAGCCAGACAAAAGAGAACATTAGACAATAACCGAAAGATCGCCCAACAAAGTCTGTCAAACCAAACATTTAACGCCTGGCCTTTTCAGCATAAATAAAAGGAGCAATATCTCAAAAAAAACATTTTACTGCAATTTTTTTTGAAACGAAAAATGAACAATTATTCGTTTATAAGTAGGGTTTAGAGACCATAAGTAAATCATTTGTATAAGATGCATTCACCCTATTTCGTTTGAGGTGATGAAGGACTGGTAGTTGAATTTTCCCACAATCATAGGAATTGAGCTGATGGATGAATATTTCTCATATGAAAATTTACTAAATTAACATACACAGAAAAAAATAGTAGCAAACCAAATATGCCTCTTAAAAGCTTTTGAGATAAGGCGACAGGTAAGAACTAAATAATTAAACATAAAATAGTAAGATAGGAATAATAGAAAATATTTTAGAATATAGAATTTAACTCGCCTTGCACAAAATAAAAGTTACATTTTTCAGTACAAACTGAAGGGTAGAGCAGTCAACTTGAGCGCAGCAGTAATACCATTCCAATTCCTCTGTTATTAATAAATCTGATTATTTTAGGCAAATGGGGTAAGAAAATGAATAAAAACAAACCAAATATCCCAGACGCAATCAAACCCGAAACTAAAAATAATATAGAAACTCGTCTGCTAAATAATAATTGAATCATTAAAAAATTTCTTTGATATAAATATTATATATAATATTTATATTCAATATATAAACATATTACTTCATCTATTAGTCAATCATTTTTCGCTAATATTACTGAGTGTTTTAATCGAATTTCGATAATTATTTCTTCTAATATACGATAAGCTTGTAAGCAGTTCGAATTAATCTACTTCAATTTATAATTTAATTAATGCAGCGGTAATATCATAATTGTTTTTTTGTATTTGTTAGGTGATTTGGTTTTGATTCATTTGGCTGTGTTTATGTGAGGCCGATTTTTGGTAATTATTTTTTTATATACTCCATTAAACTATGTATACTAACGGCTTACCAGCAACCAAGTAACATTAGATTAAAAAGTAAATGCTCTTAATTATATTTAATTGGATGATTGCAAAAATGCGACCTAGTTATAGAATACTTTATATTTTGTATTCTTTATATATATATATATATATATCTTTTTTGCATTAGCTGGCAGCGTGTATACGGTATTAATTTTTACTAATTCATTCTTTAATTATTATTTGCTTTTACAGCAGTGTAATCATTTTGCCTGCAACGACAACCAGACATTGGCCTTATTGCAACCACTGACAAAAGTCTACATGTCAAGTATCCACCAAGAATTAGCAAATTCCTGCTCTTCAAATATCTTCAGTCGTTTCTAAGTCGTCGGATGAGAGATGGAAAATGGAGTCCAGCCGATTGCAAAGGCCCGAATGATGAATTCTTTGAGGGAATTTTTGGCAGCCCGAAGACGTTTAACGGAATTCCTCGTCGTGTGGACTCATGTACAGTCGAGATCCTCTTAAAATATACAATATTTATGACCATTAACCGCGCCTTTCTTTGCGTTGTCAGCGTCGTCAATGATCAGATGCATGCACACCACCGAGTTATGCTGGATGTTAATGTCAGGAATACTTCTCTACAACGACT